AAAAAAAGAAATGTATGCATTATCCTGCCCATGTAATTGTAACCCCTCTGTACAGTATGTTCACAAATAAAATAAAATTAAATTAAATTAAAAAAAACACTTGCTTCCATTTTTGGAGTTCATTTCAATAAACTTCATATTATATGATCATATGCACACAGCTATTGAGCTTTTGTGATCTTCTCCTAAGAATATTCTCCTTTGCGCTCACTGTGTGAATGTCTAGAGTCCTGTATAATGTATCATGTCCAAGTGTATTTTTTTGTCTTTTACCATCTATTGTATTGATTTGTAGATTTATAGGCATATTTTAGTTACAACAAATGAGGGAAATGATACAACCTATATTACTTTGGGTTGGACTTACTTCACTTAATTTTTTCCAAGTCTTTCCATTTCCTTATGAATGGTACAATTTAATTCTTTCTGATGGAAACATAGAATTCCACTGTGTATGTATATCACATTTTCTTGATCCATTCTTTCACCGAGGGGTACCTGAGTTGATTCCATACCTTGGCTAAGGTAAACAATGCTGCAATAAACATGGTTGTGCTGGTAGCTTTAGTGTGTCCTTGTTTGTGATCTATTGGATAAATGCACAGGAGTGGAATTGCTGGGTCATAGGGAAGCTCTACTTTCCAGAGTGGTTGAACAACTTTACATTCCCACCAACAGAGTAGTAATGTTCCTTTTTAACCATGTCCCTGCTACCATATGTTATTGTTAGCTTTCTTGATAATGACCTTTCTAACTCAGGTGGGGTAGAATCTCAATGTTATTTTGATTTGTATTTCTTTATGGCCAGAGATGTTGAAAATTTCTTCATATGTCTATTGGCCATTTTTTTTCTTCTTTTGAGAAGTCTCTCTTGAAATCTTTAGCTGATTTATTAACTGGGTTGTTATTTCTTTAGGAGTTTATATTCAAGGGGGTGAATTTTTGGCTCTAAGTATATTTTAGTTATGAGGCCTTTGTCTGATGCATAGCCATTCTGTCCTCTTCTCTAATTCTGTCTCACTTAACTTTTGTGAGTCACATTTGGGCCTTTCTAGGTCAAAATATCTTGGTCACTTTATCACCCACTCCCTTTTCACTTCCTGAGTTGCAAAACTGAACCTCAGAGAGTAACTACATCTCATTTGGACACCACTGGAGGAAGAAGTATTTCCAGGGGCCCCTTCAAGCCTGCCACCTTGACTTTCTTCTTCAGTGCTATTTCTAGAGCCAAAGCTGGAATTCAAGTTGACAACAAAGCTAAAACACAAAAAGCTGGGTCTCCATGGACCTGCCTTACTATCATGGCCCTCTGACCAAGCAAGAGTGTGAAATCTTGCTGCTTAAAGAAGGGATAGATGGTAACTTTCTAATACGAGACAGCGAGTCTATACCAGGAGTCCTGTGTCTCTGTGTCACGTAAGTAGCCTCATCTTTCTACATAATTGAAACCTGGTAATAATGGCAGCCATATAGTCAGGGAATTGTATTTTGCTCTAGCCCCAAACAGCTAGACCCTGCCAGGAAAGGGTAGAAGAAATGTGTCTACAGAGCTCTCCTACTTGCTCTCCTCTTGTAGTGTAAATGCCACACAAATAGACCTTGTGGCAGCAGAAGTCAAGCTGATGGGAAATGTAAGAGCTTTCAGAAACTTCTAAGTAGCATCACTGCTTCCATTAGAGGTCTCTTTATTTGATATAGAGAAAGCTGTGGATGTAGAGAAAGCTGTGGAAGTTTCAGCCTAAAAGTTTCCACTCCTAAAATGCTAATAACATTTCACATTTTACTAGATTTGTAAAAGGACTTCATACACCATTTCCTTTCATCTTTATTATGGTCTGTGGAGGCAAGTATAAACAGTCACCATTTTACTGGTGAAGAAATAGAGATTTGTGTTTTCAAATGACTTTTTATGTTAAAATTCAACTGGTACTTCTAGAGTCTGCATTAAGTATGAAAACTTACAGAACCAGAGATACCTTACTGAGGAAAATAGTTTATGTTCAGTTCAGAAAATAATCCTGAGCACTTCCTAAATTTATCTACTTTATTCTTTGTAGAGTACTCAATACTGAATCCTTTAATTGTCTTATTATAAGTGTTCTGGTTAAAAGAAGACTATTTAATGACACTTGTTAATGCATGGCAAGGAAGACTTTATTCAGGACTCTCTGGATAGGTATAGGGATCCTGGAATGAGAACTCTGAATGGAGGAGAGATTGTACTTAACTCCCAAGATAGCATGGAGACAAGTTAAGATTTGTAACCAAGAATCAGGGGCAAAGCGCTTAGTGGATGAAATAATAAGAGAGGGGGTGGGAAGGTGGCTCAGTGGTAGAGCACTTGTGTTGCATGCATGAGGCCCTGGGTTCGATTCCTCAGCACCACATAAAAGAAAAAAGCCGGAAGTGGCACTGTGGCTCAAGTGGTAGAGTGCTAGCCTTGAGCTGAAGAGCTGAGGGACAGCACTCAGGCCCTAGAGTTCAGGCCCCATGACCGGACTCCTCCTCCCCCCAAAAAAGAAAAGAAATACTAAGAGAAAACCTGAACTGTAAGGAGACTTATAGCTAAACTGAATAGATTTCTAATTAGCTAAATAATAATAAGTTTATAATAAATAATCAGCTAAACCAATAGAATTCTAGCTGAAGATAGGCCACAATGATGTTATCATATAAAGTATGTTACAGGAAAGAAATTAAGGGTGATTAGGTTTTAAGGTTGAGCAGGGATACTTGATAAAACTGGATTTTATAAGGAAGTACACAAGCCTAATCAGAAAGTATTCCAAAATCTGGTCAAGCAAAGAATCTCTATACAAAAGTCTATGCTTTTGTACCTCATCCACTGGAGGGCTAAGAAAATAAAAGTGAAGGTCACACTAATAGATACACAGAAATATACCTGTTTCTTAAAATGGGGTTGGAGATACAGGTGTGAGAAAGATAGCCTTAAGGATATCATGGGGCTGGGAAGGTGGCTCAGTGGTAGAGCGCTTGCCTTGCATGCCTGAGGCCCTGGGTTCAATTCCTCAGCACCACATAAACAAAAAGAAAAAAGCCAGAAGTGGTGCTGTGGCTCAAGTGGTAGAGCACAAGCCTTGAGCTGAAGAGCTGAGGGACAGCACCCAGGCCCAGAGTTCAGGCCCCACGACTGGACCCCCCCCAAAAAAAAGGATATCTTATGTTTTCAAGCTGCAAGTTATAGTTAGAATGTTTATGTGCAAATAAGTGTGTGCATATGTGTATATGTAATGAGTATATACATATATGTGTATATATGTTTAAACATTATATACATATGTATATGTATACATTTACATAGACACATTATATATATATATGTATACACACATATACATACACATATATATAAACTCTATCCAAACCATAGTAAAAACTACTATGGTTTGGATACAGTTTATTCCTACAGGTTCATGTACTGGAAGCTTGGTCCCCACTGTGGCTTTTAACAGGTAGTAGCCTTTAAAATAGTGGCTCAAATTTCTTGTGAGACTCTGAGTTAGTTCTTACTAGTAGATAGTTTTAAAAGTAACACTGGCCCATCCCCCATGCTTGTTCTAATTCCTTGTCCCAGTATGTGTTTGCTTCCTCTCCCATGAACTCCCACCATAATGGGCTGCATAAACCCTTAGTTTACAGATTTCCAGGATTTTCAGGCATTTTGCTTTAGTTATAGAAAATGAACTAATACAGTTGAATTTCTATCATTTTTGTGGTACTGAGTATTTGAACTCAGGGCCTCACACTTGCTAGGCAGGTGCTCTACCACTTGAGCCACACATATAGCATCTTTCTGTATTGGTTATTTTTGAGGTAGGGTCTCACCTTATGTCTTGGCCAGCATAGAATTCTCTGTCAGCATGTGATTCTCTTATTTGTGCTTCTTCATATTGTTGAGGAAATACCTATCATAATGTGCCACTGTGCCCAGACATCATGCTTCACACATAGCTGGGATGATTGGCATGCACCATGGTGGCCAGTCATTGGTTGAGATGAAGTCTCATGAATTTTTTTTTCATTCTCCCTGGGCTGGCCTCATATACCCTGATTCCCTGATCTCTACCACCCAGCACACCCATCTCAGTTCTCCTTTTGCACTTGTACATTCATATCCTTTTGCCCATGTTCAGCTTGTCTCTTTAAATGGATTTCTTCTAAAGTCTGCATTTGAAGACACAACCTTTTTTCCAAAGAAGATATGCACATGCAAAAAAAGACTTCTAATCAAACTGATTTCAGGAACCAGCTAAGATGGGGCAGATGGGCATGGAGACAAGAAGGTACTAAAGATATGCCAGATAGAGGACCAAACTTGACTAGGACTGCAGAGTACAAGATCTTTTTTTGTTTGTTGGGGTTTTTTTTGGTGCTGGTCCTGGGGTTTGAATTTAAGGCTTGGATGCTGTCCCTCAGCTTCTTTTACTCAAGGCTAGGACTCTATCACTTGAACCATGGCTTCACTTCTGGTTTTTGCTAGTTTATTGTAAATAAGAGTCTCTTGGACTTTCCTGCCTGAGCTGGCTTCAAACTATAATCCTCAGATCTCAGCCTTCTGAATAGCTAGGATTACCACCAGCACCTGATAAATGTGATCCTCTTGGTAGTTTGAACACTAATGTTTATTCTCAGGTGCTCTGTAGCATGGTGAGTCAGTCCAGCTCAGGTATTCACAGCAAAGGTTACTAAAATAGCAATTAGTCAGGCGCCTGTGTCTCACACCTATAATCCTAGCTACTCAAGAGGCTGAGAGCTGAAGACTGCAGTTCAAAGCCAGCCCAGGCAGGAAAGTCCATGAGACTCTTATCTCCAATTAACCACCAAAAAACCAGAAGTGGCACTATAGCTTAAGTGGTAGAGCTCTCTCCTTGAGCTGAAGAGCTGAGGGACAGCACTCAAGCCCAGTTCAAGCCCCACAACTGACAAAAAATAGTAATAATAATATCACCACCATCAAACAACAACAAATCCAGTGGGAAAACAAGAATAAACATTTGTTAGTTACCTGGACATGGTCAGGCCTCACTGTCCTCCTAAGCCAAGCCAAGTCGCCAAAAGGCAAAGTCTGATGCATCTGATGGCATAAGGCTCATTGTAGACTTAGTGAAATCCTATTGTGGCCTCCTCAATTTTGTCTGTCTAGTAATTTCTTAAAGTCTCTCATATGTCAGGCCCTATGCTAGACACTCAGGTAATCTGAAAACAGACCAGAATCCAGTGGGAAAAAAAAATCAAGAAATAAATAGATACTGTGATGGATGTAAAAACTGTGATGACTGGACTATCTCAGAACACTATGGGGGCAGAGAGCAAAGACCAATTTGTCCATTAAGGGTTAGAGAGCCTGACACTGGAGCTGAGATGTCAGGCAGGGACAGAGGAAGGCTACAGTAGGTGGGGTACAAGAAAGATTCCTCTGATATATTCACATAAACCAATTCATTCTCCAATGTATAAACTCATCTTAGTCCATTTGGTGTTGTCAAAACAAAATAATGAAATCTGGTCCTTTTAAAGAAAAGGGATTTATTTAGCTCACAGTTTTTGAAGGGCATGAACATGGCATGATCGCTGGATGCCGGGGTAGGGGAAACCCCATAGCAAATTAGCATCATGTAGTGGAATGTGTGCCAGACAGAGAAGTCAGGTGGCAGGAGAGGAAGTAAGAAGGCCATCATCCAACTGTATGGGTAATGGCTTCCCTTCACTCACACTAGATCCAACATTAGAAAGTTCCAACACCTCTCAATATGGTAATGCTGGAGAACAAGTCTCTAGCACATGAACCTGAGATGTACAGACCATAACAACATATGTAAGCAAATCTGACATTACTCTTATAATACAAATATTAGACTGTCTGTTCAGTCCTCTATAAATAACAACCATGGAGATTTTTTGTGAGCCAGCCTTCAAGCGAGGCATGTTAGTTATGTCTGTTCTCTCCTCTATCCTTTGTAAAATTTTTTGCTCTAGGCAATATTACTCCTATATTAGGAGGAAAGAAACTGCAGCTTTAAATTTAATAACTTGGGGCTGGGAAGGTGGCTCAGTGGTAGAGCGCTTGCCTTGCATGCATGAGGCCCTGGGTTCCATTCCTCAGCACCACATAAGCAAAAAGAAAAAAGCCAGAAGTGGTGCTGTGGCTCAAGTGGTAGAGCACTAGCCTTGAGCTGAAGAGCTGAGGGACAGCACCCAGGCCCAGAGTTCAGGCACACGACCGGACCCCCCAAAAAAAATTTTTTTTAATAACTTGCCCAAAGACAAATGGTTAGTATATAATTGTGTTTCATGCACTCACCAATGTCCCCAGCTCCAGTGAAAATATTTTCCAGGCTGGTCATCTTGAGACCATGCTATAAACCATCAAAGCAGGGCTTGGAGACTTGGTTGTG